TACATGTTACTTGTATATTCTGTTCAGGCTGTGATCATGAAATATCTACAACCAATGACCAGCCCCACCCTCTAAACATAACATAACATGACTTACCCAAATCAGCAGGGTCGTTATTATTATTAATAAAATGTTTCTCCTAATTAGGAGAAGCACAAACGAGCCATCTCCGTCTGGGAGGGACACGTATCTGACCTCTGACCTACATGTACCCATAGTCCCCGTAATCCAGAGAAGCCGGGGATTACAGTGGATTCCGGCCCTCCCACCGCCCCACTAATCCCACTTCTCCCAATTACAGCCGGGATTAGGAACGTTTACTCTGATGGTCGCTGACGGGGCGGATAATTCCAGCCGGATCAGACATCAAAGGGGAAACAACTCCCAGCAGACGGGCTGAGCTAAGAAATTGACTTCAGATTACAAGGCTTACACTACTAAGTTACACTTACACAATTTTGTACATGCGCTGCTTCATTGATACACATTGGACAGTTCAAACAAGAAATAACAGCATCAAACCTGGTCTATAATAAGTAAGAAATTGACTTTAGATTACACGACTTACACAATGTCGTACAATGTACATGCACGACTTAAGTAGATTACAAGGCTTACACAACGTTGTACATGCACTGCTTCAGTTAAACACGTTGGACAGTTCAAACAAGAAGTAATGAGTGCAAATGTGACAGCATCAAATCAGTCCTGGTCTATAATCTGTAAGAAATTGACTTCAGATTACACGACTTATACAATGTCGTACATGCACGACTTAAGATTACAAGGCAGTAATGAGTGCAAATGTGTCAGCACCAAACCTGGTCTATGAGTATAATCTCATTGAAATACTTCATGCATGAATTCCTATCAGGTCCTAGTTTATGTGGGAAGGATAACGAAATGTTATGGATTCTTGGCAATTTGAAACATCATTATGTACTAACTTTTACTTATAAATATTTTGTATGTTATGTGTTCAGAGTAAGCTGGTGTGTTATGCCGAAGGGTGGTCAAACAGATGCAGAAGCCAGTGTGTTATGCCGAAGGGCGGTTATACTGGCTATACAGATATACAGAAGCTGGTGTGTTACGCTGAAGGGTGGTTATACCGGCTATACAGATATAGAAGCTGGTGTGTTATGCTGAAGGGCGGTTATACCTGCTATACAGATACAAATACAGAAGTATAGAGATTGGTTGTGAGAGTTACATGTACATTGTATGACACTTGGAGTGGCCATCTTTAAACAAATGTTTTAACACTAGAAGCTGGAAACACACCATGGTACCAGAAACTTGTTACCCCACACCCACACAGTACTGTGCTGTTCTATTATCAGCTATCCCTTTCTAGTTCTAGCTAAATCCAATGTGGCCTTCTGCCAGCATGGATGTCGGCAAAGTGTGTTAGAAACTGAGTGAGAAGCAACAGTTTGCAGTTAGCACCACAGGTGCAGCTAGCGCCATACTAGCAACTAGCACCACAGGTGCAGGTAGCGCCATACTAGCAACTACCACCACAGGTGCAGGTAGCGCCATACTAGCAACTAGCACCACAGGTGCAGGTAGCACCATACTAGCAACTAGCACCACAGTGGCAGCTAGCGCCATACTAGCAACTAGCACCACAGGTGCAGGTAGCGCCATACTAGCAACTAGCACCACAGGTGCAGGTAGCGCCATACTAGCAACTAGCACCACAGGTGCAGGTAGCGCCATACTAGCAACTAGCACCACAGGTGCAGGTAGCGCCATACTAGCAACTAGCACCACAGTGGCAGCTAGCACCATACTAGCAGGTACCGCCACACCTAACTTTAACATGCTCTTATGTTCTAACATTAGGGACTGTAGTGTTGGTAACTTATAAAATGTAGATTATCTATTAGATCAGCAATGACTTACTCATTTCAATTAAAAGGTACACAGTAATCTTTGCAGGAATCTGTTAACAGTTGCAATCTTAACTTTTTGTTCAGTGCCAAATATTGTCATTGTCTTTTGAATCTAAAAAAAGGTAGCGAAAACTAAATCTCCATGGAAATCTGCATTGTATATTCATGTTTGTTTGTTTCTTTGTTGTCTGCTTGACTACTGAAACATCAGTTGTCTCCCTGCCATGTCTAGAGGGCAGGTGGGATGAAATTGGTCTGAAAACTGACGGCTTCTGGCCGTGACGTAACCTGCACATGACTGCAATCTCCATAGAAACCTGCATTGTGTCATCTGTTTGTTTGTTTATTTATATTTGTTGTCTCCTTGACACGTCTGGAGAGTGGTATCAAATTGTGGCAGGTTATAATTAGGGTACTAGTATGTCCCCTCCAAACTTTCCTACGTTCAGCAGTGGTGGCTTATTCTAAAATAAAAGAATTGATCTGTGAAATACGTAAAGGTACCCTGAAAAACTAACAGCTATATAATATGTAGTTTTTGTACGCTCATCATGGACATAAAAGTTTTTTCTTCATGGCTGCAGGCGTTTTATGAGGCACCTGTTTTACTGCATGTCTCGTAGCTACAACATAGTAGAAAAAAAACCTTCAGTCTGGAGTGTTGGATCAGGCACAGGATAATGCACGAATAAAGATTAGAGTAACTACGTGACGAGATAACTAAAGTCTTGTATCTATAGCTGCAGCTTTTGCAAATGTCTTTCCCTATCACACAGTTTGTGCCAGTTTTGTGCCAGTCAAGCATACCGAGATACTTACAGGAACTACGCTGAGATGTCTTCGGTTTATGCTTCGTAGAGACGACATGAAGTCAGATTAGATGCTTAAAGCACGCAGAAGCCTCTTCTCTCAAACCACATTTGCACTAAATAAGATCCTCTGGATCTGTCCCTATCCTGGTGGCCGGACCAGAGCAGCACACAGCAACAGTCGGCAGCCAAGTCTGGACTAGCTTCTGCCGAGGTCAGAGTTACGAGGCTGCCTCTGTATGATTATGCCGGTCAGCAGAGTAGAAAACTACGCAGATATCAATCTTACCAGATGGATTGCACAGAAAGGTACTGTAAGTCCTGATATTTTCACTGTACTGTTAATGTGTTATGTTCACTGTTTTCACTGTCACTTCTGTACCGTGAACTTATCATTACAGTTAACAAATAATTCCTGGACTTTCTTTTTCTGTCACCACCGTGAATATATAGTTCTGTGAACATGACCATTTTTCTCAGGCCATGAACTTTTGCTACCGTGAACATAAAGTGATTTACAGTAACTTACTGATGGGCAAACTGATAGGAGGGTGTTGGGAAGGGCACACCTGGAATTCCAGCTTACTTATCTGTTTATCTAATAATGATCTGTCTTCATATCAGTCTATTTCTTACATCAGTAGAAAAATTTCCATACTGAGATATTCTAAGGTATCATTTAAAAATTTGGTCCATAAAAAAAAATTTCATACTGAGATAACCTAAGGTATAGTTTCACAATGTGACTGAAATATAACTGATCTGCCACAGGTGAAACATTACCCCCTCTGACCAGCGTTTGTGTAGAATGGTTTATTATGACATGAATCACCTACAATGACATATATCATAACTGTCTCGAAGGCTGAATTGATGAAGACTTAGTGATATTACAGAAATTGACTGCACGACTAAAATTGATTAAAAACATTTTCTATACAAGCTCAAATCAAAATCAAAAGTTTTACGGTCAGCATAATCATTCATCTATACACGTCCATTCTGTTATAAAATTGAAATAGTTTAAAAACGGATAGAAATAAATGTTCTAGTATAAGGCAATTTGCGACATTGAAAGACAATTATGTGTTCAGTAGACGGACCATGCGTGGTACAGCACTCGTTCTATAGTGTTCAGTTTGCACGCACAAAACCCCATTTCCTGACCGACGGGAATAAACTGTACACCTTCTGCAGTTCCAGTAATTGGTTGGAACATCTTAATTGTTCTATGAGGACCTTCCCAGAGTTTTTAGGTCAGCCAGTAACAATCCCTTCAATCAGCAGCCAGGGATTGTCATGGCACATCTAGAACCTCATGTGTTCGCGCTGATTGTTCCCAGTGGAACTGTGCAGAAATCAATCAGACTCAGCCAGACAAGCTCAGCGCAGGACACAGGAGTTTTCTTTTCTCTGCTGTCAGCACTTAGGTGAGAAATCTTGGTTGTGTAGAAGAAAACTATGAAGGTATCGAACATAATTTGCAGGACATCACAGGAATAATGTTTTTTGTACACACATACAGAAAAACATTGATTGGAATTGGAAGTATCATGATCAGAGGGCAAGAAAGCAAATATACAGTCACAATATGACTGTTGGTCTTTGCACTCCGTCTCCATGATATAGACATTATAGTGCAAGTCCCTGCAATGTACCTTCATCCTCAGACATATTGACTTAACATGTGTCCATAGTTGACATGTTCCTGAAGGTCAGAAATCCTGGCACAGAATACATTAATCATTACACAGAACAAATCAAATGGAACACACGGAGAAGGCCTCTAACACTAACACTTCAACAGACAGAATCACAGCCTTTCACCAGAACAGGACTGCCTGCCTGTGTCTCACTACTGCAGGGCTGGCCGTTTCTCAACATGATTTTATTTCTGAGTCTGACTCTATTGACCTGCTGTCTGCTATGGTTAGCCTGGCTCCAATCCTACTTGTTGGCCATATACATGTTGTACTGTACCTCCCCATCATTTTGAGGGTGCGAGTAACGGAACCCTGTAAATAACTGAAAAGGATGGCACCCAGTCTATGGTAGTCTTTTTTATTGATTACAAGGCTCGGTAGCTAGAAAGTTTCCCACAACATTAGGGTGACTTTGTTGTAATGGCAAGTACAAGAACCTGCCCCTGAGACAGCTGCCACTAGCCTGTTTACTGAACCTGTTTTAGCTCTTCTCTGTCATCCTTGTGGAAAGGCCGAAAGAGACTCGGCACCTAAAATAGGTTTGACAAACAGGCACAGCCTATAACAGGCACCTGTACCAAGGACAGCCCCTACATGCCATTCAGCAGTCCATCTGCCATGTGACAGTCAGGACAACCACCTGTTAGAAGACAACGCTTGTCAGACGTTTGACCCAGTTTTCCTACATTCCATCATTTCCAAGTTTCTGATCAAGTCTGGATCCCCGGACCTTCTGCCAAGGAAACAGTCCTACAGATGATACCATGTACAGGGCTGGAAATACTGGGTGCATGTGCAACTTAGTGCACCCAAAATTGGAGGTGTGTACCCAATTTTTTCTGTGGGTGCACCCAAATATTTTGGTAAGTGTTTTTGTACATATTAAATGTATGATGGTATACAGGATATTCTTGGCATCTAAGTGTCAGAAAAATAATAAAATTTTTGTTAAGCTCTGATTCAAGCACAGAAGACGAGCAGTTAGATTAGGTTTTGTTTAATTTACATAACATGGTGCTCCCAAAAACTTTTTGTGCATAATTTTTTAGGTTGGGTGCAGCAGTGCACCTACATGTATTTCCAAAAGTGAATTTCGAGCCCTGATATACCATCAGGTACCAGATACAAGCACATCACACACCCACAACTGGGTATTTCCTTGTTATTCCCCAAACATCCCACCAGAGATTAAAAAATTTTAGTACATTGGGTCATAAAAGACCATTACGTTGTTGTTATTACATGTTACTATGTATAAAGTTGACCTTGGCTTTAGCTACATTGATCTGTTAGACAGGCCGGTGAACTGTATTTACCCAAAATGTTTGGACAGGGATGCTTGAATGAAAGACAATAATCAAGATCGTGCCGCTACATTACAATCTTGTGGTGCTTTGGAGATTGGGGATTACAGCAAAATTTTCTTGACACTAACTATGTATGTACAGCATTTTCGTGTGCTTCTTTCCTGTCCTGGTTTCATATTTGTAAGTTTGGCAGTTGGTGAAGAAATTGGAGAGTCACGTAATGCCTGTGTAAAAACCGAAAGGGGCGAGCATGTCACAACCGGGAATCGAACCCGAGTTGTCCGCTTGGCGGTCACCAACGCTAACCATTACACTAAAAGGTCGCACGACCATTTAGCATGGTCAGTTAGCGGAGGATAAACCCCACTGTTACACCTGGTAGTTAGGGAGTTGTGGGATGAAAATTTAATACCCAAATGGGCATTTCCTGGCCACATCTGGAACAGATACTTAAGTACTGACTCATCAGCAGGCCAATCTGAGGTAAAATGTCATCAGCTTGACACGGTCTGACACAAACAGACATCAGCCGGAAATGAAAATTGTACATTACCATTGATTATGACAAAAGAAGTGTTTCTGTTTTAATCAATTATAGATGGAAATAAGTTGGTACAAAAACAAAACAAAACAAAATGGCACGTATCAGATACCAAATTTTTACCATATCATAAAGGCATAACTAATGCAGTTTTTAGCATTACTGTAAGAGAATGGTGTGAGATGTGTAACTGTTGGCAAGACTAACTTTGCAGTTTGCACCTGTACTGCCTTCTTACATTGCTGCCTGGGACGGTTTATAACTTTATAGTGTACACAAATGTTTATGTTGAAATAATCCAACAACAACAAACCAGTAAGCCATCCGAATGCCCTACAGACATTACCGCAGGCATTAACACTGGTTCTACTCAAAAGGCCAAGGCTGAAATCTGCGTACTTCAAAGTTCTGCTTTCAGAGATGATAAAGGCTAACAATGACCAATCATGGTCCTCCAGTCTACTTTCTACATCAAGTGTTACCCGATACTGTACGGCAGAAAAGAAGCCGGCTCTTACTTTGGGACGGACCACTGAAGATCGCGGATGTTGTGTGAAAATGTTGCTACAAACGTTCTCAAATCAAAGCTTCGTGCAAGTTTTTACATTGTCAGTCCTAAGTGTCACTCCTCTGTCCATATTATTACTGCATAATGTCTTCTGACACCTCCCGATACACATTCTTCTGTTATGATGAATCTTGTCTACATTATCCAGACCGTTTCTCATCTATTCTTAGAAACATTGTTTAATAAATGTTATAGGATTAAACATTTCTAGTAGAAACATGGTTGTTACTATTTACATAATTGCTGTAAATCCCAAGTCAACATGCAAAATAAGGAAGCCAACTTAGAATACAGTATACATACACATAGTGATGTATACCTAAACCCAATTTCAGGTTCAGGTCCGGATTCAAGTCCAGAGGTTTAGGTTCAGGTCCGGACTTGTAAGTCCGGACCTAAACCCATGGCATATACAAAATTGCATGTTGCCAACCTTGCAGTGTTGTCTGGGTGAAACTTGACGATGCCCGATGGCAATGTTTTCTTCGTTTTGCAGCAAAGATTTTACAATCTAAGGAAGGTTTTAGGTGGTTTGGAAAGAAAAGGGGTATGTGAAATGGTCTTTTATGGTAATAAGTCCGGACTCGGTTCTTGACTTTTAGGTTTTTTTGGACTTGAACCTAAACATTCTTACAAGTCCGGATCCAAGTCCAGTGAACCGGTATGCATCCCTACATACACAGGATAATAAACCTGGATCCAAACCTTTACAACTTGCAATTACACACTGGTACAATGTAACAACATTCTATGGGGAAGCTTCAGAAATTGCCTTCAGAATTTATCAGTAAATTTTTTGTGCACGCAATTTTTTAGGTTGGGTACACCAGTGCACCTATTCCCAAGAATGAATTTCAAGCCCTGATGTGTGAGTCCTGACCAGCCTCCTGTCACAGGCAGGTACAAGGTAGGCTGGACAGGAGGCAGGATTTCCTATTCTCCATCTGGCATCTATTATCCCACATTTCTAGGCAAACTGCCACTAAGAGTTACACCAAGGAAACTTGACCTCTTCCCAACAGCAATGACCTCCAGCTCAACTCTGACTAGTACTTGTACTGCTTGGTAAGACACAGTAACAATACCAGGACATCACATCACATCAGACATTGATGTTTTGGGGATTTGGTACTATTTAATTGCCAAAGTCATCTGATGTCTGAATCACAGGAATGCAGGACCACCTGTTAAAAAACCTGGCGTCGCCGGAGAGAAAAATCCAAGGAACCCAAAATATAAACATCTTTAGTTAACTCCAGGGCGTGAGCCTGGGTCGTGTCTGTCTGCACGTAGCTACATCTTGTCTGTACAAGTCATTCAGCAGCTGTATCTAAACAATGCAGAAATGGCACTTGTATATAACAATATAGGCAGGGTTGGAAATACTGGGTGCATGTGCCCCTTAGTGCACCCAAATTTGGAGCTGTGCACCCAACTTTTTTCTGTGGGTGCACCAGTGCACCCAAATATTTTCTTAGGTCTAATGTATGTAAAGATGTTAAATGTATGGTAGTTATAAGTGTCAGAAAAAATAATACAAGCAAATTTGTTATAGTACTTTTCTTCAAATGAAACATAATTATATATCATATGATATCATCTGTATCTCAACAATGTAGAAATGGCAATGTAAGTAATTGTAACATAAAAACAAAGTGCTAAGCGATACCGATAGGCCATTAGTAAGTAATCAGGACACTTTAACCTGCAGCCTGCTAAGGTACTGTAGCTACTTTGCATACATTTTTGACTGTAAAGTTTCGTCGTTCCTCCTTGCTGCCTTTCTTGATTTTTCATCAATCTCAAGACTAAACCACAAACACGGCTGTCACACAGTCAGATGGTGTCTTTCTTTGCGCACCTTCATGTTTGTTTCTGTACAACGTTTTTCTGTCAGCTGCTTTTTAGCAAGTAATCCTTTACCTTGAAAAGGGGGAATGTAACTGGATACTACTAGTACTGCTACCTATTTGTAAGCCTGGACTTATTTATATGGGGTTCAAAATGCACTAATTCTCTAACACGTTACAATATTTGAGTTGATACACTTTTGCCTGCACTTGCAATAATGAGACTGTAGCTGTTTGTTCCATGACTACATGACAGGAGCAAACAGACCTGGACTCTGGCATTTCAAGCACTTTCCTCCAGCAAACAGCCTGATGGTCTGATATATTACATTTGCCACGATAAGAGCATAGAGTACAGGAAACAACGGCACTTCCAGTTTAAATTTGAACAATCCATAGCTGAAGATAAAACTCTGACTCTGACCTACATATATTCTGATATATTCCTTTTTTAAGATGCCAGCAGTATTTTAGTTTACTATAATATGACAAATTTTCTTGTCAAACAAGGGTTACGTGACCTTGACTCCTAGGTGTGCATTTGAGCCTGAAAATCTCCCTCCACAAACAAATGTGTTTGATCACGCTCACATATTTCGTCCATGTCAATATTCTAATGGGTCAACAAGTCGGGTGTGTAGGTCGGTTGTCATGGCAACTGGAAAGGCAGGGGTCGGGGGTCGGGAATGTTCTGTCCTGTGTACAATTTTCTTTCAGGGCTCAAAGTTCATTTTTGGGAATTGGTGCACTGGTGCACCCAACCTAAAAAATTGGGTGCACAAAAAATTTTTACCAATTATGTTTCACTTCTTGACACTTCATTTTCCTGACACCTATATATATATATATATAATACTATACGCCAAAAAGCAGTTACTCAAGCAACTGGATATGATTTTGGAAACGTCAGACGTTTCAGCTAGTATCCACTAGCTTGTATCGTATTACCTGGATGTCTAACCTTCATCGATGTATATACTACTATACATTTAACATCTTTGCATGATAGCAAAAATAAAAAAAAAATTGGGTACACAGCTCCAAATTTGGTGCACGAAGGTGCACAATGTCATGTACTTCCAGCCCTGTACATGGAACTTCTGCAAACCACTGCAACCCTGCTGACCAGAAGCCTGCATTGATCTGCATGGCAGGATAGAAACTGGTAACAAAGCAGGAATGTACACACTACAATGGGGCTCCAGCCAGAGCCATTCATACCACATTGATTTTCACTTATCTCAAAATATGCAACTTGTTATGAACCGACTCTTTTTTGGTCATCTCAGTCAGACCTTCAAAGCTTCAAGCCAAGTTTGCCAACGTTTGGTAAACGTACCAGAAAAACACGACAAGAAAGAGAACTCCTATCCCAGAATATACTGACGCCTGACTAACAGTTATCAATCAATCAAATGCAATCTCCTTATGGTACACTAAAAATACATGTAGCCGTCCCAGTGATTGGGTTAAAACATTCATATACCAAGTTAAAACATTCATATACCATATATAGTATTCTTGCATTTCAATAAGACTTAGTGCTTGACTATAACTGAAGGGAGTTACACTACAGTACTGCAAGTGTATCATATGATATATCAACACATAACCGTATACTTTTCTTTATAATTCATAAAGGAACATCAGAGATGAATAATGACAAAAGCTGGTTTTGCCCTTGAAATAAAGAAGGAAGCATGAATATTTGATTATCAAGGACCTTGTAGAATCTATTCCTAGTAGTACTGTTGGATAATGCCATCACATATACTGTTCAAAATCTGCATATATCTGATGTTGTAATGTTGGTGTCCCCCCCCCCCTCGGAACCTCAATTTCCCATCCAAGCCAGCCTAGCGGGGACCAATAGGCGGGCAGCATTTCGGCCACACCCACAACCCGCGCTTTAGCAAGATATGGTTGAAAAAGATGTTTATTAAACTTGTTCAAAAGATACATTTGTAAATTGTTTTCTGAAATTCCGTGTCTTTGAATAGCTGGAGCAAAATAACTACCGAGCCGAGTTAAACCATTTCGGCACTGGGCTTCTGGTGCTTACGTCGGCCGCGCGGCTTACAGAACAGTACTAGTATCTTAGACCAAGCTTAGACCAAGTCTTTGTCTGTGAAAATGTAAGAAAAGAGGCCGTGCAGTCGTGTCCTGCCGATAACCTTGTTGTCCCGATTAAACTTTGTTACCCAGGCGGTATGATCTCGAAAATACCTTGATACCCTTTTTAAAGACAAGGTTTGATTTTCCGACTCCAAGTTTCCAGTGCTGAAGCAGCCGACACTGGACACCAAGTGTTGACGTACTTTCGGCACTGGAGATCTAGGACGAAGCAGCCTCACCTCTGTATACCGAGTGCTGAGAAAGGAACCCGTTACTTTGGTAACTTGCATTATTTTCACCCAAAATACACCAATTCTTACATTGTTTATCTGACATTACCAACTCAGGATGCTGTTCAACCCCATTGTCGAATGGAATCGACCGCAAAGTGGGCGTGGCGCGGAATGCTGGTCACCCATTGGTCGCCGCTAGGCTATGTGGATGCGAAATTGAGCTAGGCCCCCCCCCCTCACACAACATGAATCAACAGGCTGTTGTCCAGGACATGACTGCCAAGCAGAGTGATTTGTCCTGGGTTTGGGTTTCAAATGAGGTGTAAAGTTTCCATGGAATTTCACACTCTATCAGGGAGCAACATTCCAGGTGAGGTCCTGTCTACCTGCTTGAGATGGGGTTTTGTGCGCGTGAAAAATTTGCGCGCGCGTGAAAAATTTGCGCGTGAAAATATGCAAATTAGCCGATTCCCAAGGGATTTAAAAACTTTTTGCTGTTTTGGACTTAAAAATATAGATGAAAAGTCATAAAATAGAATTGAGTATCATATTATCACATTCTAGAGTACATAGCCTTGTTTTGTAAACTTTTCAGTGACTTTTAGGTGATTTTCAAAGTTCAAGTTTTCACGCGCAAAAAAGTCTGAAATTTTGCGCGTGAAAGAAACTGCTTCATAAAACGCCAAATCAAGCTTATAGAATGGAGAAAAG